CCTTTCCATAATGAGGATTTTAGTTATGGTTACTGACAGCAACGCTTGCTGGCTATGTAATATTTATTTTCCTATATTAAATGCTTGCTGTAACCATAATGTTCTGGTATAAACTTTATTTTATTTTAGTAAAGTCTCACTTAACTCGATTTTTCTTGAAGTTTTTGTGGATATTATTATGCAATACTGACAATTGACTTCCAAAATTTTAAATATAAAATTTGCAACATTAAAATATTATCAATTATATTGAAGAAGTTCGAAAGCACTTCTGTATCTACTAAAAAACAAATTTTAAGTGACTTAAAATATTCCATTGAAGTTAAAAAGTCATATGATTAAGCATTGAAAATCTTTCTAATAAAGAAAATTGAGTAAGTTTTTGCCCTTTTATTTTCTAAGAAATTTGTTAAAATAGAAAAACAGAAAATTAATTCGAAGTTAAAGTTAATGGATTTTTTTTTCTGTTTTTTTTTTTTTGTTGTATCACCCATTGCAATTTGCACAGTTCCGTTTTTTTTTTTTTAAATATTTTTTGTTGTCATTGTGCAATATTTGGTTCCGTTCCGCTGTAAAACTTTCTTTATTCTATTTATTTGTTAGATAGAGCACAGCCCCCACTATGCTTTAAACAATATCCAGTAATAATATCACAAGAGGTCAGAAGTTTTTGTTTTTTTTTTTTTCTTTTTTCTTTCGAGAAAAACTTGTTATTTTCCAAAGAAAATTTTTAAAAGTTTTCAATTTTTTTTTTGCTATTTTCCATTTTATTTTCCAACTTGTTTTTCACCTTTTGGGATAGAAAAGAAGAGTAAAACGGAAAGAAAAAAAAAAAATTATTTTTTTCTTGTTTATTTTATTTTTCATTTTCCATTTTTCCGATTTTCGTTTTTTTTTTTGTTGAAGAAAATAAGAAGTTTTATAAATACAGTTAAAAAAGGAAAAAAGAGAAGAAGCAAATAAAATTTTAAGAAATGTACAAACAATGGTAAATCTTCTTTAGTTGGTGAACTTATGGTATTAAATGTTAGATGTCGCTAGAGATTTTTTTTCTCTCTTTTTTCTCTTTTTTAGCACTTTTCCAAAAAATTTTTGAAAAAAAGTGCTTATTAGTTTCACTCTGTCCGTCCGTCCGTGTGTCTGTTTACAAAACTTCTACACCGTTGAAGATAGAAAGCTGAAATTTTGTACGTACATAGATCTTTACCAGAAACTTATTTCCATAGAACAAAATTTTTACCTATCTCCCCCCCTCTAGAAGTTATACCCCCCCAAAACCCTAAAAACGGCCTTTTTTAACTATTTGTTGCAATGAAACCATAAGCATTTTTGAAATTTTGCAAACGCAGAAAGACAATGGCTTGCTTCCTCTAGCACGGTATACTATAGCTAAACTTTAGAAAAACAAAATGGCCGTTCAAATTTACCGTTATCTAAAGTCTTTTTTTTCCAAATTTTTGATTTCGTTTTTCTTCTAGACCCCAGCCTGTAGAAGCTTGAAATTTTAGGGCCTCTTAGACATTACCAAATAGTTCATTTCGTTAGAAGAAAATTTTTTTCCATCTCCGCCCCCTTTCAAGTTATCGCCCCTTGAAATTTGTAAAATTTGAATTTTTGACACCCTATATTTCCGAAACCGCAAGCTTTTTCAAATGTCTATAAACGCTAAAAGTTAGCGGTAAATTCCATGACATTAAAAAATATAATTATTTTTCTTAACTAACACATTTAAACCTTAAAATCGAGCATTATGTTAACCCCTCTTTATATTATTTTTGCTCTATTTCAAATACTGCATAAATCGTTCATCCTAAATATATGCAATCCCAGAAAAAGTTTTGTATATGAATGAAAAAAATTTTAATAGTGTGATAGGTATACATAGACTGTATTTAAAAACAGAATTTTCACTTGGCGAAGGGAAAAGTGCTACAATACAAACCATTGGTTTGACCCAACTTTATTTTTTTTGAAAATTATTATTCTTAAAATTTATACGAAAAGAAGAATTTTTTCAACGTAGGGAAAAAAAAGGGAAAAAGAAAAGTTTTTCATATTATTTTTTTTTTTTTTTAGTTTTGCACAATTGCTGCGCATTCAATAAAACAGAATTGTTTTTTTTTTTTTTATAAATAAATATTTTTACCAATTTTAATTTAAGTGTTTTAAATTTATTTTGTTGAAGAAAGTTTGTACTTTTTTTTTTGTTTTCTTACAATAATTTTATTTTTCTTTGGTTTCTTAGTCTTTATTCTTTAGTTATTGCTCCATGTATATAAGATGGTTCATTTTTTTTTGTATATGCATACAATATTAGTGATCTTGTACACTCTTTACGTCTCTATGTACATAAATTGTTGATTTTTTTTTTTCAGTTTAGTTTGTGAGGGAAATTTAAATTTGAAATAGTTTATATCTTTGATGTTAATTTAGATGAAATTAAATTTGAATTTAAATTTCAATTTAAATATTCAAATAAATTTTCTAATAATAATATTCAAATTGATTCAGATTTTATGTGAAATGGAGTTGAAACGTTTGTGTATAAATATTGCTTTAAATATCTTTGATTGTTTAGATTTCGATTTAACTTACAGGTGGTGTCCTTGGAAATGGGTAAAAGTATCAATTTTCTGATTCTTAAATACCTGATATCTTCATAAACAATGTAATAAATTTGAAAATAAAATTAAATTCAAAATGAGGAAAAAAATATTATTTTGCAAAAATCGGCATTTAAGCGTCGAAAACAGTATTTTACAAGATTGTTTTGGATTTTATGCGTGCTTACCTTGCTTTCGTGTTTGGAATTTAAAATTCCGCTCAAATAAGGAAAAGAAATTAATGGAGTTTTCAAGAAGATTCAAGAAAAGTATTTCTTTTTCAATAACCTATAACAGAGACCTTACAGAATTCAAAATTTTCAAACTTCTCCTAGTGAGTTTCTTAAATCAATATAAGAAGTTCCAATAAACCGAATCACAAAATATTGCCTGGTCTGACATGCTCTTTTGAATTCAATTCAATTTTTTAAATTCTTTCCTACATCTTTTTTTAATGCCTTCAGTAGGAGAATCGCAGCCCAATGAAAATTTTCTTTTAATTTTGCCTAATTGGGTTTAGTAGCAAGAAATATAAATACAATCCTAACTTAATAGTCGTGTCAAGAAAACAAATCCGGCATATCAATTTCAAACTAGTTTTATTTGTCCTATACATGCAATTAATACCCATAAATCTCTAAATTTTTGCCTGAACTATCATTATTTTTTAAGCATAATTTAAAATAAATTTTATAAAGTTTTATAATTTTCATATACATACATTTATACATACATATATATAAAAATATAATTTTCATTTTCATATACCGGAAAAAAAAAGTAATAAAAATAGAAATTTAATATTTAAGTATAAAATCTAAATTTGTTTTTTAATGATATTTTTCCAATTTTATATTTAATAAAATATTTGAATAATAATAGTTTATATATCATTTTGGCCATGATGATAAAATAATAATATGAAAAAGAAGAAAATTTTATTTACAATTTCTCTTATTTATTTTTTCATATAGCAATATTATAATATATAGAAGACACATGATTCATGGGAGCAATATAAACGAGAAAATTCTATCTAAACTCATTTTATGATTTCTTTGTTGCTACCGAAACTGAACTATTTACCTGAAGGTATGAAAATATCATTTTCTTGTAAGAAAATCACGAATCAAAATATATTTTTTTTTTTCTATTGTTATTATTTGGGTTTGCTATTATAGGAGTTACCAGCATTTCATGGAATTACAATGCTCCAAGATTGAATTTGAACTATTATTTTAATAAAGTTTTCATATCTGTGGTATATTTACGATTTTATATCAAAGCTTGACAATTGGTTTCCTTGAATTTCAATGTATGATATTACATGAGGAAAAACTTAAGTTTTCAATTGAAATTTTATCAATAACTTTAATTGAATTTTTTAGCCGAATTAATTATTATTTTATGATTAATAGAATCACTATAATTGTTTATAGTTGCTATTGCTCTATTTTGCTAATTTTTTAAAGAAATTTATCTAAATCCCCGATAAATGCATTATCCAGTCCAATTATATAGTTTAATCATTTTGGCACAACCTACAACTAGAATTTTATACTTGCCGACACCGACGGTACGATAAATTTACGATGACGGTACGCCAATTCTAATCGAGAAGCATGCTTTCTCGTTTAGATCCCCATCAGATTCACTACATGTTTTCTTGAGAAACCGTCACAATTTCTAATATTTAATAATATTTTACTGATAATAATTATTGAACTTCATGGAGAACGAAAAAACTTTTTAATGTTTGCACTGTAGTATTTCGGGGTTTTTAGTATTTAATTCTTTGATTCCTCATGATATCATCTTTTATAAGAATAGAATCTTATCATTTTGTCCGCAACACAATTAGTAAACAAAAACCCTATCATATACGTGGCTCTATACTTTATATAAAGATGTAAAAATAACGTTATATTAAAAGAAATTCTAGGAATAAATTTATATCGCGATTTTTTCCTCTCTTGTGAACCTATACATGTATACGCCAACTGTACATATATATATATATATAGTAATGGTAGCAATTCAATTCAAGAAAATAAGAGTTAAATTGAGACAAGAAAAAAAAAGAAAATTGTTATAAAGCAGAAAAACAAGATATAAAAAAAATAAGGAGAAAAGCAAAAGAAAAATTTAATACAAAATTTTCTTATTTTTTCTTTCCTTTCACTCTTTTCTTCGCGATTTATGCCCTTTTTTTTCTTTCTTATATTTTTATCTGTGTAGTTTGTATTTTTTTTTTCATTTAAAGAAGGAAAATTTTTAACCTTTTATTTTTTTTTTCGTTATCCATTCTCTTTTAATAATTTTATTTTTTCTTATGATTCTTATTTTTTTTTTTACAAATTTATTTTTAGAAAAATGGTAAAATTATTATGTACTTACCATGATGTAAATGTGCCAGAGATTGCAAAGTGTTCGAGTTGCAATTCAGAAATCCTGCAATTACACAAAAATGAAGAAAAATATTAAAATTATTTTTGTCTTATTTCTTGTTTTTTTTTTATTATTATTATTTTCATTTAAACTATTTTAATATAATGAGTTAGAACAAATTTTTCGTCCTTTTTTTCACTATTTTATTTTCGTTGGTTTTCTTCTTCTTTTTATAGCAATATATATATAAAGTATATGTTCATATTAGCGGATAGTTAAAAAATATACAAAATTCAAATTTATCCTTAAAGACTTTATAAGAGCTCGAGAGTGATGATGGTGACAACGATAATGGCTTAAATTAGGTAAAAATAAAGAAAAAGGACAAGAAACAAAATAAGAAATCAGCTAAAAAGGAAGAAGATGAAAAAGAAAAATGGAGTCAAATAAAAACTAAACCACCTTTTTCCTTTAAATCCTAAAAAATATTTAAGATTAAAGATATCAAAAAACAAAAAATATGAAGGAAAAAATAATAAGTAAGAAATAACAAGCGAATCAGTTTACTTTTAGAATACAAGGATACAGGTACAGCGTATACAAATCTATATGATACAATTAAAGATGAGATTTTGTTTTACAGAGTGCACCATGCTTAAATGAATTTAAAATCAAAGAATTATTCTTCCAATGATTTGATGAAAAGTATTGTAATCTTTTAATAAATTAGCAGTGCATACGGCAATTAAGAAGCTTTCGATCAATACGAATTATATAACTAGCTACACTGAAGCCATTAACTCTGAATAGACCAAAATTGAGTTTAAAAAAAAAATATGTGTTTATTGCAACACCATCAGTTTTTCTCTTAATCGAACTTTTCCACGAATATTATGTCAAAATTTCTTGTATACCTAAAAATCAAATCATTATCTAAGAAGTATCTAGCAGAAGCTTGTTTTCTAAAATCCGTACATTTTTATTTAATTCCAAAATAATATGAAAATTCTAGTAGAATAATCTAGTATGAGACACGTAGAGAGGATGAACCAAGTGAAAGTAAAGTACAATTTTTTCAACCCTCATAACCTTACTTTGAATTATACCACGAAAACATACGTACAGTTAGAAAATAGGGTCTACATTAAAACTGATAAATTTTTGAAAATTCAAGCCATATGACGTCGTTTCGCATTCTACATGTAAATATTTTTTATGGAATTTTACAATTTTAATTTGTAAGTATTATTTGAAGCCATTGAATTAGAATCTTATGTAGAAAGTCATTAAAAATATACCAGATTTCAATAACATAACATTGATTTTCCTCGAATATTTTACAAATTTTAAAAACCAGCCATGGGGAACAATCTGTAGTTATAAATTATTTTTTTGACAAAATAATTTTGTTTTTTTACTCAAAATTACTCAAAAAAGATTTTATATAAGTTTTATGTAGAATTTTTTATGTTATAAACAAGCAAGTTGATATTTCTTTCCGTATTCATTTTTTTTTTTTAATTTATAAAATTATGAAATCCAGGTCGTTTTAAGGATCTTAAAGAAAGACAGAGGAAAAAATCAAAATATAAAGTTAAAGGTGTGACTTATCTAGTTCTTCTTAGCTTAGAATGTTCTTAAAAAAAAAAATTGTCAACGGAAAGGAAAACTTTTTTGTTTTATTTTTGTTTTTTCCCTTACTTTTATACAAAATCCGTCATCCTTAATTTAAAGTGAAATTTTAATTAATTTAATAGCATGTCATCATAAAAATGAAACTTGAAAATGTAATTTTTTTTTTTTATTTTCCGTTTTTTTTTTGTTTTTTTAATTAATTATTAAGAAATGAGGATCAATTTGCCGGAAATAACAAATATATTAGAGATTTCATTTAGGAGTTTTTTTTTATTTTAAACAAAAATAAAATAATTTTTCCGTACAATGTTATTTTTACTTAGAATAAGAAAATAGGACACTATTTTCGTTCACATTAAGTCAAGATACAAACAATATGTATGTAAATGTAGCATAACAGCATTATTGCAAATTGAAGCCATCAAATGATCTGACCAAGAAATAAAGTTGCATTCCGGATTAAGTGGTCTTGTATAGCTTAAGCTGCTCTACACTAAAAGAATCATTTCTGCATCAAAGGAATGCAATTTCCTTTCAATTTATAACTGTAGCACTATTCGGAAGAAGTTGTAAATTTTTGGAGTTTTCAAAGAAAAACAACTTCAATGACTGATAAGATTCTTTGAACATTTGTAAAAGAATTCTGTAAGGTGATCTTTTAAATTGAAAATTATTGAAAACAAAAAGCACAAACTGATTTATCTAATGATCTCAACAAAGATGTCATACAATAAATTAAATATTTCAAAGAAAATATTATGTAAAAATAAATGAGCGAAAACGTAAGTAATTTCCGAAACAAACGCTAACCAAATATAATTTTTTGTATACGAAACTTTTGTAAAATTTTGTAATTTACATATCCTTCCCAATTAAAACTTCTAATGAAAATTTATTCTTACGAAAAAGCAACTTAAAGCAGTTTCTCTCAAATCGCTTACAAGTCATTAAGAGGAACAAATAAATGACAGAGAGCAAACCTTGTATTAGAAATCATAAAAAATGTTATAAATTTTCTTTAAGTATAGAATACCTTATGGCAGTAAGGACAACACATTACCATCATTTATGTTTTTGCTCCTTAAACTTTAAATGTATGCTATAAAGTTCATATACATAGCATACTTAAGATTTGCATACTTTCAATTTCTAAGATCATAATCCGTTATATTAAAAGATATTAAAAATTTATTCCCTAATCGAGTACGTATCCCTTACATTATTTCCAAGAAAAACCTAATTTCCCTAAACTTATTTCTTTCTGTAGTACAAAAAAATAAGGCAATAAATAAATTTCCAAATAATTAACAAAAAAAAAAAATGGAAAATTTCCAAACATAATGGTAAAATATATTTTACCGTCTTTACTTTTTTAATACCAATTGTTACTGTTATGTTAACAATAATTTAAAAAAGAAAGTGACATAAATTAAGATAAAATGGTAAATATTTTAGAAAAAGGAAAAAAAAAATACTAAATTTATCTATGTGTGTGAAGATATACACACACACAAGCGTGTATTATACATATGTATTTGATTACGTATTTTCTGGTGTTAATAAAATAAAAGATTTAGTTGCTCAATTTTTTTTTTTCGTTTAACACTCTTGTACATATTTAATACTGAACAAGAAATCATTTTTACTTTTATTATACGGAAACCAGCAATATCCCCATCTCATATAATAAGATAATAAAATAAAATTGAAATTATTACACTTTCCTATAATTTATTTTGAAAAAAAAAAAATACAAAATATTGGGTGTTTTTCTAAAAAGCAAATTATTAGAACATTGAAAGGATAATGTTTACTTGTAAGTACTGGAATTACGCGTTTTCAAAAAATAAAAATTCTCTCATAGCATAATTGCTCATAACAAATTAATTTGCCAATTTCAGTTTTTTAACTTTCGGTTTTAGATTTTGATTTACTCTTGACTTCCATATTGAAGACAAATACCATTTTTAAATCTGATCCAGTTCAGATATTAGGATAGCATTTTACAACCACAAAATTGGATAAGAATTTCTCTTTACACATCAAACTTTATTTTGTTCAAATATGCTGTCAAATTAAATTTGTTTTTCGAGATATATTTCGTGGTTTACATTTATTTTAAATATTTTCAATATAAATTTACAAAAACTTTAAAAAAATAATTCAACTATCTATAAAAAATTAATTTTAAAATACTAAACTGATCCCAATAAACAGTTGATCTCTTTTTATTTCTATTACAAAAATATGTAAAGAATTTGACAAGACTGTATTTTTCTCGTTCGATTTTTCATAATTTTGACTGGACGTTTGCACATTAAATTTCCATCAAATTTCGGTACAATCAAATAAAATGGTCAAACTTTGTTTGATGTGTAAACGCTTACTTATTGTCAATTCCAGACTAATATTACAACGTTATGAAACCATCCCATTATATTTTATGTAAGACTTAGAAAATTTTCTATAGTAGAAATATTTTATTTAGAAATATTTTATATTTCAAATGTGCTTCACATTTATAAATTACATTTTTTATGTGTTATACATTTTGTATAACATTTCAAATCTGTTATACTTACCAATTTTTTTTTTTTTCACAAATTATCATTAAAATTGAATTTTAATTAAAGTATTAGTCTGCAAAATTTTAGAAAAAAAATTTTTGGAATAAAATTCAACTGATTTCATTAACACTAACAGGGAGCCGTAACGCCAAATTCATTACATTCATACTAAAGCAAATTACATACAATTAATTTCAATTAAAATCAAAGTATTCTTACATAATTTTACATATACTAAATAATTTGTAATTCGTAATTTGAACAGAAAATTTGGAATTTTATCTTGAACCATTCTGTGTATGAGACTCTTAGATTATTTATATATAGCCCTATTATTTTATGTAGAATAACAATGCCATAAATCATATAATATTATTAAAGTATATAGACCTTCTTAGAAACATAAAAATAAATAAAAAGGATATAAGAAAAAAAATAGAATAAATTTGTTTTTAAGAAAAAAAATTATCCTTTTCATTGCCATTTTTGTTTTAGAAGAGAAAACAAATCAAAAAATAAAACATTAAAGTTTCATTTCTTTTTTTTTTTTCATTCCTTATATTTAAATTAAGTTTTAATGTTTTTCTGAAAATAACAATACTTATGAGAAAAAAATAACAAGTAGAATAAAGATAAATTTTCTCAAGACAAAAAAGGAAGAATACTAAAACTTTCTCAACCTCTTTGCTATTTTTTTTTCTTTCTTAACTCATAAAATAATTATGGAAAACACCTTCCTTTTATACTTGAATAATTGGAATTCATAACTTAACTTTTATACATTTTCTGATTTATGTGTATGTATGTGTGTCTATGTATAGTTGTTGTAATTTTTCATATTTTATAATCATTTCTTCATTA